GGACTTTTGAGGACTTTCTTCCCTGTGGAAAGGGGTGGGGGGCACGTGGAAGCAGAGAGAGAGGCTGGGGAGAGTCATCCTACTCCTAAGAAGCACATGGTGTGAAAACTGACTGCAAACCCCCACTCCCACCCCTCTGTGCCTCAAGGCAAAGGGGGAGGGAGAAGGTGAAGAAACTGGGAACAGAAGCTGAGCCCGGGAAGAAGGGAGGGGTGGGGGGAAGGTGTTTTGACTTTAAGATCTGGTTGTATCTCCCATTGTCCTACTCTGATGTTGGTAACAAATTAAATTTCTTTTGGTTTTATTCCTTATGATGAGTCTGTCTTTTGCCTGTGACTTTTTTAAGTGGTGAGAAGCCCTCCCAGTCCTTATTTTGACCAGCCCTTTTTTGGGGCATCATGGTGCTCAGTTATGTACCGGACCTAAACCACGACAGCCTTAGAAATTGCTTCGCTCATAGAAATTAATAGTTTTAGTCAACTCTAAAAGATTTGTGAGGCGTGACCTTTGCAGAAGTTGTATTGACTGATAGCTTCCCCATTTTGTTATTTTCATCCATTTGTTTAGAAGGGAATACATCAAAGGTTCTGTCTCAGGTTGAAATGTTAATAGATTTAGGGCAAACTGAACAAAATGAACTGCAAAATGATCGTCAGTATATTGTTTCTATGCAATGGTCTTGTGGCCATATGTATGCCCTCTTTTGTCCTCAAGAAGATAAAGAGGTGTCAGTCCAACTTTCTACTCCACCATAAACTGGTTAGTAGAATATGTTTAGTAAGAAACAAACATTTGAAACTTTGACTAGTATGACCCCTTTGTATCCTTTCACTGTTCTTGGTTATTAATGTTCAGATAATGTAGTAGAGTTTCTGCAGGTATAAGTAATCCAGAACTGAGGAAAAAAAATATATTACTGTTTCTAGTGTGTTTTTCAAATATCAAAAGTTTGAAATTGTTTGGAGAAGTCACATTTCCTTCAAGGGTTTACATCAGTTGTAAGAGTTTATAATTTTGACAGGAATATTTCCATACCATAGTTTCATAACTTTGGCATTAATAGATTTTGATCAAGTGATTTTGGCCATTTTTTCACCTTCAATTCATGAATCTAATGATTATCTATAATGTAGGTTCTCTAAAATTCCGATTGTTACTTACACTGATACATATTTTCTTTACACTGGTGTCCTACTAAAGCATTTGATTGAAGTGTAAGGGACCAAATGGAAACATTAAATTTCCAGTGACCCAGTCACAAATTTTGTGCTGCCAAATTATCTTAAAATTGTCTAGAATATTACAGAACATTGTTCAACAGCCTTCTAAAAGAAGTACGGCTACTAGATCACAAGAAAAAGACAGGTTTTTAGTGTTTAAATTGTCTAGATGTTTTCCCTATCTTGAGAATTGAGAGGATGTGAACAATAGGTGAACGTGCTTCAGGAATTTTTATGTTCCCTTACTTTCTAATTCTTGGATTTAAATTCAGTGATAATATTCAAGCATTTATGTTTTACTGTAATAAGCTACCTTCTGCTCTAGTCTTAGACATTTCAGTTTCCAGACAGACACGTTAGATTATGTTGATCATTTTTAACTTCACATTGCATGTGTATCTGCCAATTATTTTAATTTGTACCGAATTCTAGAATATGCATCAGATTCTTCACTATGATATTATTAAATTTATACTAAGCTTTGGAGACACCTTAGCCTTTTGTGGCTAATTCTAAGAAATAGAGTTAGTCTATGGACTTGATTATGAAATATTCATACTGCAACAACACACCTGGAGATGTCAATTAAATGAAAGCTGGATTATTTTAGAGATTGCGAACTCTAAATGAAATTCCTTTCCCCAGAGATTGCAGTCTGAAAGATTCTTTAATGTTACCAACTCTAGCAGTTTTGTTACACATTTTAGATTTACTAGAAAAGTGTCCCTCAATCACTAACTCTCAGTTGTTCTGTTATAATGTGAAACTCACTATTTTGATTTGTTTAAAGAAGTAAATAGAAAGATCAGCCCTTGCTGACTGTAAGAAGGAGCTTTAGGGGAAAAACAAAATAACCCTAAATCCTCATGAGTAAGAAAAAGAAATAGAACAACTCCCAGAATGGTCTTTATTGTGAGTAAGTTTTCAGGTTTTTGAACACCTGGGCATAACAGAGCTGAAGTTGAGTCATTCTGTGGTTTATCTGCATTTGTAAAGTACTACTCCATGCATATTTACAGCTCTTACAAAAATAACCAGCGTTCAACTCCCTTCTCTACTAGAAAGTTCTCTGTAAAACCTGGGACAAATAATCTTGGTTTGGAGACAGCACAAACTATGTCTGTGAATCCTTCTCAGCTGCCTCTCTGTAAACAGTGTTGCTATCTTTGTAAAAGAGTGAAATGCTTAGCTGTCATGGTAGTGTGGAAATATAAATACCAATAAAAACTTTTCAATTTATGATTTTTATGCATGCTATAAGAAACTCCTAGCTAGTTCTACTGTTTATTAAATAAAGCTCATATATATAGCTCATATATAAAGCTCATAATCATGCTCATAATCACAGTTGGTACACTAAGCAGTGTAAATAGTTGTAAATACTATTTTGAAATCATTTGCAAATGAAAACAGTTACCATCTTTTTTGTCAATTTGGGCATAGTTCTGTACCTTCAGTCGCTGATATATTGATGTAAACCTCTGGATTATTTCACAAGGAACAAATTGCATATTCTGCAAGTGTGTATTGACTAAGGTGTATATCTCTCTGCAGTTTCTTGAATGTTTTATTGCTAGTGGTTCTGTGAAAACTTTTTTAAATTTTGTAAATATTTCCTCTTCATCTTGTTTCATTCCTGATAACTTCATGCACTATTTAGTTGTGATACTTAAGTTGCTACATATATGAGCCAGCTTAACAGTCTATATATAAACTCTAGGTTAGGTTAGGTTTGAGTAGACACTTTTATCAATAACTATATATTCGAGTCAATTCCCCTAACTTAATTTTCATTTGGACACATTCAGTTATTTTATATTTTATGCTATAGTTGCATGAAATCGGTAGATTGTAAAATTTTCACTATTCTGAGATCTGGATATCCTTTATTGCTTATATAGTACCAACAATCTTGCCTTTCTAGTAGAAGCATTTGAATGAAAACTTCAAAGATGAAATTTCAAAATTCATCAGTCCATATATGCATGGTGATAACAAAGAAATCAAAATTTTAAATCTACTATTAAGTAACATTATGGATAAAATTCACAATGCACAAATAAGAAACCAGTATTCTCTAATATAGTCTTTACATTAGAATATTATTTGTGTCTTTTTCTCTGATTATGTTTTTTTCACTATATTGTCTGATAAACTGCACTTACAGATTCTCATTTATTCTGTACAGGCTCCATCATCACCTTCTTCACCCATAGCTAATGAACCAAAATATGAAAAGCGCTGGCAAGACACCTTATCACTTCCTCTATCAATGGCTCGAATCTCAAGGTACAAAGCTGGAACCGATAAATTAAGGTTAGTAATCTAAAAGGGAAAACATTGGTTTACCTAGCTGTACCTAATATTTTGCTGTGGAGTGTTGGCTCTATAAGAATTTTTTAGTAGAGATGTGAAAGTCTTTTTATTAAGAACTGTGCAGTCTGTCTTCTCTTGAGATCAGTGGCATGCATGGTGATTACCAAAGATAAAGTAAAATAGGACAACAACTATAGCTCCTAGATATATGTTTCTGTAATCTGTTGTATCTTGGGAATTCAGTTAGTATTAGCAGGAAGAGGCTAAGCTTGGCTTTATTTGAATTAATTTTTAAGGTACTACATTTCATTCCATATATCTTATAGAATTCTTTCATATATTCTCAAATTCTAATATTGTCAGTTAAGTCTCCTTTTTCTTTACAAATGATAACATACTGCACAATCTTCGTGACTATGCTACATATCATTGTCATATAGAAACTCATATTTGCAAGAGATTTTGAAAAAGTAAATGGTACAAAATACTGTGTTTTTGATCATAGACCCATTTTGCATCTCAGAGACCTATGTAATCATTCATAAAGTAGCCATGAAATAGGATGTCAGAGGTGATTTTCCTGGACTTCAGGAAAGATGAAAGCAAAAGTGAAGTTTAATAAAACTTCAATAAATAATGTGCTTATGAAAGGTTTAACACATTGCAGCATGCATCAGCTTTTTTCTGCAAACCATTCCATGTGGTAGGACTACCACAAATCTACCAGTAGTTGTGGTACGAGTAGTCCGATTCACCATATGTATGAGAACAGAAGTTCTTTCACTGTTGTTATTTTCAATTTTCTTTATGGTTTGCCCTGTGTTTATTTACTTCTTATTCTTGTTAATGAGAGAACTGGAATCTCTATTGAAGCATCAACTATACAGCTGACCTGCTACCAGGAGGTACCAGAAATTCATGTATATACCTTTCTTGATCTGTGCCATATTTGTTACTTGTTTCCCAAAAATGACCGGAAAAACAATATTTTTCTCATAGAACAGTTATGATGCTTGTAACTTATAGCAATTAGTCTCCTAAATCAGTTGGCAACTCCTCTCCCAGACTTTGTGTTAAAGCATCACAGATGAATAATAATAAATTTTCCAAGAAAAAATTTAGGTTCTTCCACAGTCTGTCTGAACTCTTACTTCCACTCGATTTAGTCTCTTGTTACTTCCTCCACCACTTCCTTCCTACTTCACTGGCCTCTTACCACTCAAAGCTTATAAATTCCCTGAATTAAGTAAACAAATCTCTGTGTGCACATTTAGACATCAACTCATCATGAACTGATCATCGATGTTCATAATTTTAAAGGACAATTGGAAGAAGTTAGAACACTAAAGCCTCTGAGTTCAGTTATCAACTTAAAGCAGTTTCACTCCTGTTCTTTGCACAATACGTATTAGGTGGAGCAATCCCAAGGGATTCCAGTCCACAAAACAAGAGTGTGTGCATTTTGAGAATTCTTTGAAGTAAAACAACTGATATTTTACTGGGTCTGGCTGTGATTAATTCAATTTTCTTCATAGCAGCCCATAGAGTGCTGTGTTTTGGTTTGTGACTAAATGTTAATAACATACCAATGTTTTTCTTGTTGCTGAGCAATACTTTCACAACATCAGGGATTTCTTAATGAGTGGGCCATGAGTGGGCAAGAAGCTGGGAGAGGACAGAACCTAGGGAGCTGACCAGAATCGACCAAAGGGATATTTCATACCATGTAACATCATGCTTGGCAATAACACTGAGTAAAGAGGGTTTGAGAGGAGCTAGCCATTGCTTGAAGATTGGCTGGGCATCATTCTGCTTGTGGAAGATGGTGAATGGTTGTCTTTGCATCACTTGTTTTGTTGTTGTTTTTTTCCTCTTCCTTTTGCTTATTAAGCTATCTTTATTTCAACCAATGAGTTTTCTTACTCTTCCTATTGTGTCTGCTGTCCCACTGGAGAGGAGTGGGGAAGTGGGTGACAGTGTGGATGCTTAGCTGCTGACCCAGGATAAACACATCATGGATATATTTTTTTTGTAAGGACTGAGGAATTTAGTGCTTTCAGTTTCAGTCTTGGAGAGACATACTGTCTTATGATGCATCTCACTCCCATATATAGTTAGAATACATAGCACTGCTTCATTACAGTTTTTTTTTTCCTTTTTATTGTAAACACTCTAAAGGAAGGTGAAATTATTCTGTAGAGCCTATCATCATCCCATGATACTTTAGTTCTACTAAATGCTCCTTGCTTGTTTTGGTAAATCAACAAGAGTATCTATATGAACATTAAAGGAATACCATCTTGAGATTAAATGTGGATGAGGTGTTTCCCCTGTTCTTACTAAAGGTGTTTATTTTTGTCTGAGGGATACCAGGCTGCTCTTATGTTATTCTCTCCTCCTCTGAAATACATGTACATATTCTTGTTATTATCCCAATTGTATCTGTTGTTTACATTTACCCATATTCATATAAGCATAAATTCCAACATTTGTCATTAGTAATTGCTCTTTAAAATCAAGTGTCTGCTCTGCATTAAATAAAAGCTACAAGCAATTACAAGTGTAAGTGGTGACATCAGTCTAGATAACAATCCTCCTTTCAACGATATCTACACATCTCCACTCCTTTCCACATTTCAGCCATCAGTCTAATGTCATTTGAATGAGTCCATGACAATTCCCCTGAATGTGTTATGGATCCTGCTGACTAATTTGCTAATTTTTCCATTCTCTGAATATCTACTTAGAGGCTATCTGCATACATTGGTAGACAGCTCTCTCTGTTTAGGGCTCAGGGCAAAACCAAATGAAACAGGGAGCAGGATTTCTCTCTATTGTCCCTCACCCTTCTAGGGGAGGATAAAAAGGGAATAAAGAGATGCTTCACACAGGACTGGGAGTTAAGACTATAACAAGTTTAATGAAAAACAGAGGAAATGAAAAGGTAAGTAATAAGGGACAAATTATATGTAACTATATACAAAACCCGATCCCGGTGGTCCTGGGTAAAAAGTGTCTGAGAAGTCCCTCTTGTCTGCCTTGACTTGTCACAAGGGACTTTAGTTATGCATGGGAGTGGATGGTGGTGAATGCCACCGAACACATGGAGGTAGGTCCAGCCATTCAGAAATGCCATCCAACACGGCCCAGAAAGGAAGGAAAAGCCTCCCATGAAAACTTTCAGCTTCCTTAGTTTTTTAGACTGTGGCCAGAAAGGGGAGGAAACAATGCTGTTCTCTGACCCCTAGAGGTTCTACAGCTTCCACCTGTCCTTCTCTCTCAACCTATTAACCCTTAAACCATAACAGCAGCATGCCTGCTTTTGCAGTATTAAATGAGTCCATGAGTCTGTATGTCATCCTTGTAAATTTATGTCTCCTTCATGTTCTTTGTCATAATTTTGTTTCAGTGCTTCATTGTATTTTATCATTTAAATTATCTCAGTTGGTCTTTAGGAGGTGCCCTGGCACCAGAACAGCCATATTACTTTTTAAGTGTGTTAAGTATTGGAACTATCTTCTGTAGTGTCACATACACAGCTGTGTACCTTCCCTTCAGCTAGATAGACCGTATGAAAGGCCTTTTCCTCTACTCCCTACCTGAATTAAATTCAAAGAGGTCTGTATCATTTTTTCCATCAAAATTATCTATATACCTTTCGCTTTTGACATTCTCTTGTAACTATGTAAAATGATATGGCTTGGGAAAGGATATTGAAGACTTTATAATTATTTTGCTGTCTATCTACTCAAAGGTAATGCACTCTCTGCTTTCCTCAATTCTTCTTTTTCCTGATAGAGCAACAGCTTTTTCACCTGTGGAATTCTTGCAGTTAGCTACAGCACATTTATCATAACTTTCATTACTAAAATCAATCACGGACTGATTGTTTTAGTATATACTATTGTGTATTCTATTTATAGTGACTGTAAGTCCAACTACCCTTGCTGTTCTGATGTGGTAAACTGCTGACAGCCAGTCTGGATGGCCTGTCTGACCTCACTCACTTTTCTTCTCTATCATATTCAAGACTCCTTCATATTTTCAGCATTCTTGTTCTAGTGGTGTAAATAAGCTCTGACTTTCAGATAACCTTAGGAACAACAAAAGGATTGTCTGTCCTAAGGTTGAACAAAGTCTGATATGTTACTGAATAACATCTTTTTGTTGTCTTTATTTTAAAAAATATAGAGTATGACAATGTGAGGCATGTGAACATCTTGCTTGGTACTTTTGACCATTTTTCAGTTAGAAACGTTAAATAGCTAGAATTGTCTGTTAGACTGTAGTATGCTTTTACTGTGATTTAGATCAAATCTAGTCCAATCTAATTAGATTAGGATATATTACTCTGTGGTTAAAGTGCGCAATTTAAATTCCTCAGTACTTAATTTGATTTTTCCAGTAATTTTGCCAAGAAAGTGCACACTCTTGTGTCATGAGATGACCAGGAACACCTGTATCTCTTTGATTGTTATTCTTTTTTCATTAAGACAAAGGAGTTACCTTTGAATTTTAATTTCACTTTTCATTTTATTTTTCTCAGGAAGTCTTAAGACTTAACCACACAAGAATATATTTTACATATATTTTAGATTTTGTCAGCACCATAGACATTAACAGAAACACGAGAGAATGGGATAGATTATTTTCCTTCCTTATATGTAAAGAAGAATGAAGATCTGGCAGAATGGGACTGCTAAGTGTGTTTGTCTATATGACAAAACAAAAGCAAAAAAGGTCCCCCAGAATATTTTAAAGGAAAGATAAAAACTGTAGAAAGATAAAAAATGTTACCCTTCCTCTTCTCAGTGCGGGATCTTTTCAGTTGTATCTTCAGAATGTATGAACATGGAAGATAAACATTGTATTAACTACCAAAATCACCTCAATTAGTGTATTTCATATTGTTTATATGATTGGAGTTTATATGATTGGAGTCTATCTGAATATTTCTATGCAGCATGCTGATTATTCTTTCGATTGCTTATTTATTCAAT